TGCTCCCCTCCCTGTGTCCATGTGTTCTCATTGTTCAACACCCGCCTATGAGTGAGAACATGCAGTGTTTGATCTTCTGCTCTTCTGTCAGTTTGCTGAGAATGATGGTTTCTAGGTTCATCCATGTCCTGACAAAGGACCCAAACTCATCGTTTTTGATGGCTGCATAATATTCCGTGGTGTATATGTGCCACATTTTCCCTATCTAGTCTATCATCGATGGGCATTTGGGTTGGTTCCAGGTCTTGCTATTGTAAACAGTGCTGCAATGAACATTTGTGTGCACATGTCCTTATAGTAGAACGATTTGTAATCCTTTGGATATATACCCAGTAATGGGATTGCTGGGTCAAATGGAATTTCTATTTCTAGGTCCTTGAGGAATCGCCACACTATCTTCCACAATGGTTGAACTAATTTACACTCCCACCAACAGTGCAAAAATGTTCCTGTTTCTCCACATCCTCTCCAGCATCTGTCTCCAGATTTTTTAATGATCGCCATTCTCACTGGTGTGAGATGGTATCTCAATGTTGTTTCGATTTGCATTTCTCTGATGACCAGTGATGATGAGCATTTTTTCATATGTTTGTTGGCCTCATGTATGTCTTCTTTTGTAAAGTGTCTGTTCATATCCTTTGCCCACTTTTGAATGGGCTTGTTAGTTTTTTTCTTGTAAATCTGTTTTAGTTCTTTGTAAATTCTGGATATCAGCCCTTTGTCAGATGAGTAAACTGCAAAAATTTTTTCCCATTCTATTGGTTGCCGATTTACTCTAATGACTGTTTCTTTTGCTGTGCAGAAGCTGTGGAGTTTGATTAGGTCCCATTTGTCTATTTTGGCTTTTGTTGTCAATGCTTTTGGTGTTTTGGTCATGAAGTCCTTGCCTACACCTATGTCCTGAATGGTTTTGCCTAGATTTTCTTCTAGGGTTTTTATGGTGTTAGGTCTTATGTTTAAGTCTTTAATCCATCTGGAGTTAATTTTAGTGTAAGGTGTCAGGAAGGGATCCAGTTTCTGCTTTCTGCACATGGCTAGCCAGCTTTCCCAACGCCATTTATTGAACAGGGAATCCTTTCCCCATTGCTTATTTTTGTCTGGTTTGTCAAAGATCAGATGGTTGTAGATATGTTGTGTTGCCTCCGAGACCTCTGTTCTGTTCCATTGGTCCATATCTCTGTTTTGGTACCAGTACCATGCTGTTTTGATTACTGTAGCCTTGTAGTATAGTTTGAAGTCTGGTAGTGTGATGCCTCCTGCTTTGTTCTTTTTGCTTAGAATTGACTTGGCTATGCGGGCTCTCTTTTGGTTCCATCTGCAGCTTATTCTTGTGCCTATCACAGCCTTCTCTCACTCTAGTTCTACCCTCTATAGGGCTAAAATTTAGACTCCCATCCTATACCCCTGTTAAATAATCCTTTAAATTGATTGTTTCCCTCCTTCGGCTAATTCCTCTCCTCTTTCCTAATTCCTTCTCTGTGTAGTGTGCAGTGTGCAGACAGTGTGTAGGGCCAAGCCCTGTTCCTCTCACCCTGGCAATTTCAGCATAGGCCAGCCCCAGGATGCCTTCCCAGTTGGAGCCGTTGATGAAGAACTTGTCTGATTCTGTGATGGCAGCAATATTGGCACGCACAGTGACGTTGGGGCCATGGGGGATGCTTACCAGGTCAGTGCCCAGCTCCCCTTCCCACTTGCCCTGGGTGTAGGGCACATACACACCCTTCCGGAGGTCCCGGTATGTGCTGGACCTGTGGAAAGAAGGCAGAGATCTGTGGATGCCTAATCACAACTGGTATAGGGTCTAAGTTAAACCTACTCCCAAATACCACCTTATCTAATCTCAGGGGAATCCTAGAGTCTGCTTTCAGACTGCTCAGCAAAACATCCCTTGACCCATCACCCAGAATAGAGTGTAAAGTGGCCTTGCAAATAGATGAAGGGAACTATTGCCGAGGCTCACTCTCCTGTCTAGCTCATATTCCTAGATCTTAAGCTCAGGCTCTCTGAAGAACAATCCTGGGCTTTGTGCATTGTGCATGCTGCTGCTGCTGCAGGGACAGCTAGCGGGCATCTCTTCTGCCCTCTGGCTCTGTCAAGCTCCCAGAGAAAAGGAACCATTGACTCTCTTACTGCCTTGGGACCTAGTGGTACCATCTGAGTGGTAGAGAAAGTGCCAGGCAGGGTGAATGTGAAATTCTACAGCAAGCTCTAGAGAAGGGATTTGCACAAGCATCTCAGCAGAGCAGGTTGGTATTACACACCACTTCTGAAACATGCTCAACATGTGGCAGCCCCACCTGTGTTTAATCACACCACCAACCAGGGCTTCTGTGTGTGGTGGGGGCAGTGATGGAACTGGGATGAGGACCTGGAATGAATGCCCTTTCATCGATCCTACCCGCACCCTCCTCCCTGATTGCTTCTTTTAGGTAGGGACATTAAAGGAGTAAACAGGGAAGGTGGGTTTTGCCAGCTGCCTAGAAGTCCAAGGATAGGATTTAAGCCTCTACTCAGGTTTGCACACACACAGATTTCTCAGACATTTGCTGTCCTTTCATGCCTTCCTCTTCCTGCTTTTATGCTAAGGAGGGTTCCAGATCATCCCTCACTGCCTCTTACCTTAAAGCCCACTTCAACCCCCCTTTCACCAGTAAGTGGAATCCAACTGGTGGCACTCTGGGTGGTGCATGGAGGACATCCTTAGCTTTCAGTTCCCTGATACTGGTCTAGGCAGAGGGGTTTATGGAAGATCCTTTCCTTCATGTCCTTGGACTATGCAAAGCCACCTGGAGTGGCCCCTAGGTAAGAACACAGCAAGGGGAGCTATCACTGAGGTCTGTTTAGCTGGTGTTTTCAGAGAACTGAGACAGAGGGGATGTGGGTTCGTCTCCCCATTCAGGCAGAGAAAATGAGCCCCCTAAGATTGTTCTGTGAGCCCTGGGGCTGCTCTCCTTCCTTTCCCTCCCACAGGAGGCTGCCCTGTCTCAGTACTAGAGCACTTCCTGGCTGCCTCTCAATTCACCTTTTCCCATTGTGTAGCTTCTCTAACCACCCCCTTCACCCTGTCCCTCCTGGTCAGTCTTTTTTTCACCCTTCCCCTTCCCTAGTAAGAAGAAAGGATCTGAGGATCAAGCCTTTCTCTCTGTACCCCTCCCTGACCCTTCTTGGCCTTGGAACCTCCCCGGGGTTCTCCCCAGGACTCACAGCTGCCTTTGGTAGTAGCGATGCAGGAAGGGGTGGGGAGCAGCGCCCACTGCAAAGTTACTGCTGCCTGTGTCCACCAGGATGTTGAGCTGTCAGAGAAAAGGGAGAGAAAAGATGGTATAGACAGGAGACTTCAGACATACCACCTTTATTATCCCTCAGCCCCCAGCCGCAGCCTGCCCTTTGGAATGTCCAGGGTGAAGCTTCATGATGCAGGACTGATCCAGGCTGGCTCCCGTTACCACCATGACCACAGATAAGACCTGGGGTCCTGAGGTGCTGCAGGGGCCAAAGGAACACTTCCCCCTGCACCCTCTGAAGGTTTGCTGAAAAATCAACTGAAAAAAGGCAGATTAGTAGAACTAACATGCATGGGAGTCATACAAAATTTAAGACTCAAAGAAATAGCCAGATGGTTGATGATTTTATATCATCTTGAGGTTACAGAAAGAACGGGGGCTTGGGCCAGGCATGGTGGCTCACACCTGTAATCCCAGCACTTTGGGAGACCGAGGCAGGAGAATCGCTTGAACCAGGGAGTCATAGGTTGCAGTGAGCTGAGATCTCGCCATTGTACTCCAGCTTGGTGACAGAGCAAGATTCCATCTCAAAAAAAAAAGAAAGAAAAGAAATGCTGTATCTGCTTCAGTCTATGGAGTCATAACATTTTGCATATCATCTCAGAGCCATGTTGTATGTGTGTTCTCTGTTCCCATATCTCTCTACCGTCACATCGCCCCTGCTCACTGTGTACCTGACTGATCCTGTCTTCAGATCCCCGCTGCTCCTTTTCTGTACTTCCAGGAAGCAGTCTGGTTTATCCCCTCCAGCTCAGAGAAGACCTATTCTAGGAACTGCACTGGTGAGGGGAGCTGTGAGGACCAAGATGGCACATCAGTGTCCATGTGTGTGGTTCTGTCCCTGTCACCAGAATGTGGTTCGCCTTCTGCCTCAGAGGTGACACAGACCTAGAAGTCCTACTGTCCGAAATAGTGGGGAGTCAGGAGCCCCAGAAAATGTCCTGGTGAAAACCTATCTTGTCAGGGCCCTGGATTTGGCTAAGTGAAGACGGACAGGTGTCTTCTTGGTGTTCCCTGCTGTCCAGCTCTTTCCAGCATCAGTTCTTTTTTTTTTTGAGATGGTGTTTTGCTCCCATCACCCAGGCTGGAGTGCAATGGCACAATCTTGGCTCACTGCAACCTCCTTCTCCCGGGTTCAAGTGATTCTCCTGCCTCAGCCTCCCAAGTAGCTGGACCACAGGTACCCACCATCACACTCAGCTAATTTTTGTGTTTTTAATAGAGACGGAGTTTCACCAGGTCAGGCTGGTTTCGAACTCCTGACCTCAGGTGATCCACCTGCCTTGGCGTCCCAAAGTGCTGGGATTACAGACGTGAGCCACTGTGCCTGGCCTCTAGCATCACTTCTACTTGGCCCTTTCCTCCTTCTCTGATGGCCTGACCCCACCCTCAGTCAGACCAGAGCCATTTTTGAATGTCTACTATATCCTCACAGGTAAAAAAAGAAAGGCCCTGTCCTCAGAAATATGGTAATTTGTAAACTGCATCTCCTCTTTTGCACACTTTCCATCGCCTCAGCTTCTCCCCAACCCCAGGGGCCTTCATTTCTTCATTTCTTCTCACCTCAGTCCAGTAAAATCAACTGACCTTGGCCGGGCGCGGTGGCTCACGCCTGTAATCCCAGCACTGTGGGAGACTGAGGTGGGTGGATCACAAGGTCAAGAGATTGAGACCATCCTGGCCAACACGATGAAACCTCATCTCTACTAAAAATACAAAAATTAGCTGGGTGTGGTGGCACGTGCCTGTAGTCCCAACTACTCGGCAGGCTGAGGCAGGAGAATCGCTTGAACCGGGGAGGCGGAGGTTGCAGTGAGCTGAGATTGTACCATTGCACTCCAGCCTAGCGAGAGAGCGAGACTCCATCTCAAAAAAAAAAAAAAAAAAATCAACTGACCTCAGTTTTGGTGCAGGCTCTGACCTTGTCATCTTGCTCAGGTCACTGTGCTTCTCTGGGCTTCAGTTTTGTCCTCTCTGCCAGATCCTTCCGGGCTCCTTCCTGCTCTCAGTGGTGCTTCTGTGGCTATGCTGACTACGCCCTCCCCCAGTGCCTGCTTAGACTTCTTGGACCCCTCACATCCCCAAAGACTCCTCTGACAGTCTTCCAGCCCTCAGACCCTGTCTCCTCCCTCCTTCCCAGTCCCCTACTCCTGGCCTGGTTTCCATTCCCCTCCCTGCCCCTCTTCCCCTACCTCTACCCACGGTCTCTCTCCCCATCTCTGGGCAGCCACCAGCTCCAGATGCTGTGCTTTCAGAGAAAATCAATAGAGCCGGGAGCCTCGGCAGTTCAGATAAAATCAACCAGGTTAATGATTAAAAAGGCTTTTCACTCACCCTCTCTCTCCCCAGGAACCCTTTTCTCCATTCCCAGGACTCAGCTCCCAGCATGGGGACTGGCCACATATTACAGGGCTCCCTGCTATCACTGGACCCCAAAGAAAGAGGACCTCCTTCAAAACACAGTCCCTGTGGTCTGTGCAAGGGAGGGACCACCCGGCTAGTTCTAGGAAAATATGGCTACTGCTTTACACTGGAGTGGTGCTTTGACCTGGGGGCTCCTGCTGTCCCTGGCTTTCCCTACCTCCCCACTCCTCCCTACAGGATGAGGCGGGGCAGGAGGGAGCTCTCTGCAGGGTTCTCCCGCCCCAGCCTGGAGGCCCTGGGCACTCTTGCTGTCCTTCCAGCCCCAGCCTTTCCCTCTTCCACCTCAAAGGGGCCCAGGCCTAGCCCAGGAAGTATCGACACCCTCCACTCCCATCCCTCTCACCCACCCCAGTACCAGGATTTCAGGTTCCACTGCTCTCTGCCTCCCCTCTCCACCTTCCACAAAAAAAGAAAACCAGAATAAACGCTGGGCTTCTCTCCTGAGCAAATGTCGGGCTGTCTGCCCTCTGCGGTGTGCTCCTGCCCCTGAGAAATAATTTCTGGTCCTGTCCTTCAGCGCCTCTAATCCAAGCCCTTGCCAGTTCTGGGAGCCTTTCCTCACTCCTGCTCCATTCCAAGGGTGGAGGTTCTCTTACAGGGCAGGGGCCTGAGGCATTGCCCACTCATTATGAAACAGGGTAGTTCAGGGCTGCCGGAGTAGAGGCAGCCATGGAGGGGCTGCAGCCGGTGAGCCCAGCAGCTGGCTCTCCTCTTGAGTCACAGGTGCCAGGGCATGGGGCTGCCCTCATCACCCACATCCAACCACACCAACCTGCCAGCGGCTGTCCCTCCCAGGCTCCGCACGAGCTGCCACCTCCCTTCTCAGGCACCCATCTCTTCATTAGCCCTACTCCCTCACATAGATACAGCCACACCACCCTGCCCCATCTCCACCAAATTTGAATTCTTCCTGTTGTCATTTACAGACGCTCCTCTCTTCATTAAAAAAAGCAAAAACAATAAACTTCCTTAATCTCATATCCGCCTCCAGCTCCCTCCTCTCCCTTCACAACCAAAGCTCTCAGCCAGGCTGTCTCCATTTCTTCACCTCCCACGTATTCCTCAACCCATTCTAAAACTGGGTTTCACCTCCATTCCTTCACTATAAAACAGCCCTTACTACAGTTACCGGTGATTTCATGTCACCAAACACTGAAGGTATTTTTCACGTCAGCCTTCATCTTACTTGACTTCTCAGGTCCAATCTCTGTCTCCTTGGCAGGCTCCTTTCTCAAGGCTTGGCCTTTGGCCTTCTTCCTAACAACCCTCTCCTGCTAACCCATCTCACCTAGATCCTGTTGACTCCTAAGCTCCTAACTCTAGCTCTTTCCTCTCCTTTGAGCTCCCGATGCACACGTCCAAGTACCTCAAAGATACCTCAAGGGCTGGACGCAGGGGCTGACACCTGTAATCCCAGCACTTTGGGGGCCAAGGCAAGAGGATCACTTGAGGCCAGGAGTTCAAGACCAACCTCAGCAATATAACGAGACCCCCTCCACCCCTATGTCTACAAAAAATTTTTAAAAATTAACCAGGCATGGTGGCAGGCACCAGTGGTCCCAGCTACTCAGGAGGCTGAGGTGAAAGGATCGCTTGAGCCTAGGAGTTTCAGGTTGGAGTGAAGCACAATTGTGCCACTGCCCTCCAGCCTGGGTGATAGAGCAAGACCATTAAAAAAAAAAAAAAAAAAAAAAAAGGTCAAATTCAGGAACCCAAAGCTGACCCAATGCAGTCCTGCCCATCTGGTGGCCACCTTCCAGTACTCCTTATACTAGTGGTTGGCATCATCACCCATCTGTTCTGTAGGTCAGCAGTATCAGGGATATCCTAACACCTTCCTTTTCTTCACCTCTCTGTCCAGTGCATCAACAAGTCCTGTCCAATTAAGCTCTTTACAAATCTCTTGAATATATTCATTCCTTATTTCCTTTGCTGCCCCTAGGCCAAGCTATCATCAGCTCACCCTGGAATATCACAATAGTTTCCCAGCTGCTTTTGGCACATACACTCTTGACCTGTCCAACCTGACCTGTTTTCTGCATTGCAGCCAGAGTGATCTTTTCAAAGTGCAAATCTGCCTGATGCCCTCCTATGTAAACAGTTTTCCTTTGCTATTAAAAATGCAAAGATGGCCGGGTGTGGTAGCTCACACCTGTAACCCCAGCACTTTGGGGGTCCAAGGCAGGCAGATCACTTGAGGTGAGGAGTTCGAGACCATCCTGGGCAACATGATGAAACCCCACTTCTACTAAAAATACACAAATTACTTGGGCATGGTGGCAGGCACTGTAATCCCAGCAACTCAGGAGGCTGAGGCAGGAGAATCATTTGAATCTGAAAGGTAGAGGTTGCAGCAGTGAGCTGAGACGGCACCACTGCATTCCAGCCTGGGTGACACAGTGAGACTCCGTCTCAAAAAAAAAAAAAAAAACAAAAAACCAACCAACGAAACAAAAAAACGGTGAAGCTTTAACATTTCCTACATGGTCCTTCGTGGTCCAGCCCTGCCTACATACATATCCAGTCTCTGTCCCATACTGTCCCAGGCCCTCTGCTGCCAGCCACACTGGCCTCATCTCAGTTCC